ACATGTCGTCTGGATTTGTTTATCGCGAAAGTTTACCTGACAATTCAGTTCACCCAGCAATTTCAACGTACCTCCTGAAGCATTCCGTGCCGAATGGTCCGATTGTATGAGTGTTGGTCGCCCAAGCATGCACCAAGTGTCGCGAGATATCAGGGTGATATCAGAAGCCGTGTCAATTTGCAACTTGACTTGGAAGCCGTTGATTTTCACAATTGTGTATTTGCGCTTGCTGGCGCCGCCAACCTTGAAATTTGCGGTAATAGATCTGGTCAAATTGGAACGCCGGAACGGTCTGGCATTGTTACGCATGTTCTTGGTCAAAATTGGACGAGTCGCCAGGCAACACGACTCCTTATGCCCTTTTCTGCCGCAACGGTTGCAAGTGTGAGTTTTGAATGGACACTCGCGGGCAAAATGCCACTCTCTACAAAACCAACATGGAGTGGGAGGTTTAGAATGCGTTGAACTCACGTGGGAAGCTTCTTTTCGTGGAGTACGACTGACTGCACAGACAAAATCTTGATCGTTCTGGTTGGACAACTGCTGAATCATTGCGGTATCGTGCTTCAAATTCGTCATGCGCTGGCACTCACCGGTCACTTGCTGCAATGTGACATCCGGATTCTGCTCAATTTTGTTCAGTATTCGTGTTCGAATATCGGCGTCTTTGGATGCTTGTAGGCCACAGACGTATATGAGACATTTAAACTGATCACTTGTCATCTTGTGTAGTTGTGACCGTTCGCACTCTCGATTCACACGGCTGGAATAGTCGACCCAGTCTTCGTCTTCTTTTTTGTTATTGTCAGACACTTGTACCGGATGTTGAACAAGGATGTCTGTTCTCCGAAAATCTGGACAGGACTGTAACCACTTCGTCGAACGACAAATCGGTACTCTTTTTGGGTAATATAAAATTGGTGAACTTCTCGTGTTCGGCAGCACCCAGCTTCCGCAGCATTAGTCGAATCTTCTTTTCTGCTGGAAGGTTGGCAAAATCAACCCGGAACATATCTTCATACTTGTGGAACCACGAAACAAATGTTATGCCAGCATCAGCGTCATAATGGAACTCACTGAGTCAGGGTTTCTGGTGACGGGGCACCTTCACTTGTCGCTAACCCTGGGCTTGACTGCACTGTCATCTTCTGAGTTAAGATCTCGATCAGCTTGGTTTGGGATGCTTCAAACTGCGCCTGTTGCTGCTGCAACAGCATCTGCAATTGTTCAAAGCTAATTGTCATGCCTGGGTTCGGTTGTACTCGCGACGCCACTGTTATAACGCTGTGCCCGCTCTTGACTGGTCTGATTCACGCCTGCTGTTTAATCTGCGCCCTCACGCGTGCTCTGATTGACGCCTTGGCAAACCCGACCGGAACGGAGACAGAAGACTACTCAGCAGACCAGAGTTCTATTAGGGCAAACAACGCTCACATTTATATGTCGGTATTACAATGCGGATTTGACTGTACGCCCACGCTTCACAATACTTGTCCTCTCCATCTATCCAGTTCATCGTGTTGCTCGCGCATTCCAGTCTTTGTCCACCCACGCAACGCACGGCAACGCGCGTGATGTCTGACGCGCGATTTCATCAGCTTCCGGTCAGGCCTTGGCGACAAGCCTGCTGTCTGATGCGCGATTTCATCGGCTCTCGGCTGGGTCCTGTTAACACGCTCGCAGGGACTTTCCCACACACGATAGGTGGCACATGCGCGAGCGTTGGCACTCAGCTTTCTCGCCCAGCTGTCATGAGGGATCATAACCACAGGTGCCAAACCCTAGTCGAGGCCTCTTTCGTGGTCCTATGGTTCCTGATATCGAGTTAATACTTTTGTTTTTGTATATTCTAATTCTGGGGGTTTTCTGACATACAGACAGACAGACAATATGAACACGCACTTACGACCCCCCCAATCATCCTCATCATTATTATACACGTTGGCTGCAGGTGGAAGACAGCTATTCTGCCGCAATACAAAATACAAGAAAAAATGAAAAAAAAAACAAGTGAGACACCCCGGCTGAGTCCCCAGTAACGGATGGACATCGTTCCGGAGAGCGAACAACCAGCTATCGTGCCGCAATAGGAGTTATATTATGTCTAACGAATGAGCTCCTGATTGGAGGGGAGGCTAAGCGGGAGGGGATGGACAAAGGAACGCACAACACAAACGCCATCGGGGCCATCTCCTAGCCCCATATCAGCACGTATGTCCAACCAAACGTGTTCATCGTCCTTAGGACCCCAACCAGGCAGTCGGGATGCACCAACCGACGCCAACTTCAAAGTGAAGTTTTTCATTTCTCTTGACCAAGTCCTCGCTTGGCCTCACCTCCTCTTCTTCCAACCGCACCCCCGTCGCGCAAACAATGCACGTCGCGGGAGTCGGTGTGCTGGCATGCGCAACACGTGGCCCAACCATCGGAGCCTGGTGTGTGATATAATGGTGCTGAGCAGTTCACTCACTCTTCCTGTACCAAATATGTTACGCCGAAAACGCTCATTGCTCACGCGTTGCTCCCACGAGACATGAGCTAAGCTGCGAAGGCAGCGATGATCAATGTGATGAGCCTCTTTATGTCTGTCGACCTGATGGGCCAGGTTTCAGAACCGTACAGGAGGGTGGAACGGACAGCTGCGTTATAAACTCTGTCCTTCAGGGAGAGAGTGATGTCGCGTCTGCACCACAGGTGGCGGAGATTGGCAAAGCGTAATCTCATCTTCGTTTCCATCGGTGCTGATACAGCTGCCCAGGTACTTGAATCCCTAAACAACTTCTAGCTGATCACCACTAAGCGTTAGCGCAGCGTTAGTTACGCTCCAATCTGGGAGAAGTACTTTGCATTTCGATGGAGCAAAGCAATTGACAGCCAGTGCTAATCGGTCCAGTGCTGTTTGGCACCTTTGGGAGCTGTCACAGATTAGGGAAATATCGTACGCATACTTCAAGCCAGGAGGCCGCTCACAAGCGAACCATTTTTTCGTAACTTCGTCAGTAGTGAAGTTTAATAGGAAAGGTGACACCGGGCAACCTTGTCTCATACCGCTGGAGATATTGAAGGACGGCGGCAGTTTACCATAAATCCTCACTCTGTCCGGACTATGCGCGTACAGCGCTTTGATAATGTTTACGTATTTATGTGGTACACTTTTTCTCACAAACAGTCTCAAAGGGCACATCGATTGACGTACTCGTATGCGCCTTTGATCTCGAGAGACATGACTACGGTGAGTCGTCAATAAACATGGCGGCGCTCCAACAATTGACCAAAAGTGAAGATGTAGTCGATGCAGCCCCAACCTCGACGAAATTCGGCTTTTTCTTCACTGATCTGGCTTTCACGAGCGCCAGTCAATCTGTGGAGAACAACAGACGCAAGCAACTTAGGCAGTTGAGATCAGACGAATCCCTCGATGATTTCCGCCTTCCGAACGGGAGCCTTCCTTGAAACTTGGGAGAACATCAGTGACTTGCTAACGGGCAATGAAGTTACTGGTCGCTGTATCGTGTGCTGTTGGCTCGTCTCACCTAGACGTGAGCCTCCACAACTCGAGAGCTTGCAGGACCGGCATGAGTGACGGGTCTGTTGTTGCTTTCTATTCTGTTTGCACGATTAAAGTGCACGCACACTGTGCATTTTAAGATGCGAGGTTTTGAATCACGGAAGCGAAAATCGGCTTATCCCTTCGCTGGTCACATGTCTACCGTGTGCTGTCGGCTAAACGTAGGCGCCTTGCTCGTGGATCTTCATCCGGAACATTTCAGCACTTTATAACACCCATCTCCCTATTTTGTCGGTGGAGCTCTTTTGTTGATTCACTATTCAGTGCCTTCTAGAACTCGATCAACAATTTTTGATAACTGAACAGCGATATCCATGTTTTTCCAATAGTATATAGATTCACTAGCCGTATAGCAAAGATTCTAGGTGCTTTTTCTCAGTTTCACCACTTTTGACGCCGGCATGATATCACTGCCAGCCTGGAACGTAGAATCTTCGATACAATGGTCCGTTCGGTCGTACAGTACGGTTGTGAAACTTGGCACATCAGATCGATGGATGTGAAGGGACTAGTTACGTTCGATCATCGGTTCCTTTGAAGTTTAGCTCATGTCTGCTTGGGACACTACGTGAACAGTGAGCATGTTCAGTGTCTTGTTTGTGGCACAAAAAATAAGTGAGCCGCTCAACGCAGTTACTTCACGCATCAGTCTCTGATGCCTGGGTTGTCTGTCATACATGCGAGCACATCAGCTTCCGCATCTTGCGCTGTTTGCGTGATCGGGTTGTGAATGAAAGTAGAGGAGGGGAAGCCAAGCGATGACTTGTTCAGAAGGAATGAATTCAATCACTATGAGTGGTTGTCGATTCGCCGGTTGGAGTCTGAAAGACGATGTACACGTTTGGTTTGGATACATTTCCTGACATCGCCAGCAGGCGACCTCCATGGCGTTCGTATTGTGCTTTGTCCCGATTAACCTCCTCCTCCTACAATCACGGTCTCGCTGTTCATGCGTAATAAGAAAACGAGGTACTTTATTGTGTTTTTTGCTTTTGCCTCTTTCTTTTACGTCAACTATTTGATCTACGGTGTGGCACAATAGATCAGACCTGCTTTACTTCAAGCTAAAATGTATGATAATCGTGGCGAAATTCTGCCACTGTAACTCGTTAGTGCAAATTGCTCAGTTGCTGCCATTGGATGTTGTGCCCATGATGAATTCTGCTACCAATCTCATGAACGCCACTATTTTTGAAGCCGGTCACCCGCTGCATGGCACTACTTATTTAAGTAACTCCAACTTATGCTAACACTGTGCTTCCACTCGAACAGCCACTTACCTGCCTGTCTTTTTTCGAATTACTCGAGAGTGTCACTGTCTTCCCATTTATGGAGCGGTAGACGCATTTTTCTTTGCAAAATATCCTGTCTATTCAATTTTCCGCTGAAGCTTGATCTTTTATTCCACTTTCAACCTGTCATCATTTCACAGACGGATTACCTTCGGCACTTCAAGAGGAGATTATAGCGGCCGCAACCAGCCATTTGTCTGAATCAATTGCGATCAGTAATGAAGCGGTGAAACGGTCTGTCCATCACACTTCCATTACCACCAACCCGATCCACACCCAAATGGGTCGGTACGTTTCGCGCACCGGCTTTACCTTTTGTCTATAAATTAGTATGTACCCAAGTTTAACCTATCATTCCACCGAACGGTGGCCATGGGGCCCACCAACCCTGTTGCACGTTGGAAACACGCTTGCTCGTAGTGGATAAGTGCTGTTCAACAACCGCTTGTTCGTCATGACTCAGTGGTCTTAGCCACGGACTGGAAGCTCAAGGCTCGCTGGTTCTAACCCCTCACTGGGCACTGCTGCCGAACGCTTTTCCGGATGCTCACTGTTTGAGTGTAGCTAAAATGAATACTTTTCTATTATTAATCTTAGCTCTTCCTTCCACCACCCTCCAAAAATATGGGATTATCTTGTATATGTTTTATTACAACCGAAGCTCCGTATTTTTTGTGAAAAGATTTAACTAATGAGCGTCATTCGCATACGATAGTATTCTTGATTTTCACTCAATTTGCATTATCGTCACAGTTTTTCTCGCGCTGTGAAGTTCTTTCGAAACCCGCACACTCTACAATCATCCTTTTTTCTTCGAGAAGCTTGCTAATGCAACGAAGTATCCCTTTTTTCTAGTGTTTCCTTCCCCACAGTCTTACCTGTAATCTTTAATTGTATACAAAACTCTGCTATGTTGACCCAGTGCAGAATATGTTTAAAATCTTCCACTCTATCGATTTGTCACAACCTACATCTTTCATGCTTCTGTCTCACTTTGGCCCCACTATAACCCTGTTTCTCCATGTGTTTAACGTTACACGGGGTAAGATAGGGTTAGATTTAATCGCCGAATTATTCTCAGAACCGAGACGGTATTTCTGCCAACGATTTACTTTTGGCGTATTCCTCATCTGAAAACGTATCCAAGAATACCGTCTTCTATTCGTCCATCCACGGGTGTTATAATTTAATAAACGGTAGAACGGAACGAATATCAGCTGTGCGAGAACATCCTCACCCTTTTACGACCGACCCCATCCGCTATGTACAAGTCGGCGTTGAATGGTGCCACTCATCAGCGGCTGGTCACAGGAATCAGTCGCTCAAGTGGCCCTCTCTGCATGTGTCTCGGCTGTTTGACACTAAACTGGTGCGTAGGCTCTTTGTATGTTGTGCGTAACGCCGTTTGTCCCTGCTGATATTTGGTAGCATTTGGACGGATGACTTACAAAGAGGGGAAAGTTATTTGCCATTGTATGAGTTATTATTGATGACATACTTTGAGACAACGCTGTCCTCAAAATTATGCCCATTTTTCCGAGCGGGCTCCTCGCCAAACCGTTGAAGCTAATCCGTCTTCAATTTTCAATCAGCACTGTCAACTTTGGTAACCACTTGAGGACAGTTTCAACTTCTGGTCATTCATTCATTCATTATACACATCAGCTAGAGGTGGGAAAACACCTCCGCTATTGTGCCGCAATACATGAAGGAAATACATACATACATATAATACAATGCACAAAAGAAAAATAGATACAACAGTTGCATGCCAGCTGAGCTACCAGCAATGGATAGGCATCGTTCCGGTAAGCTTCCAGCCAGCTACTAGGCAAAAAGAAAAAAATTTATTATGTCTTGCCCTAGGAAATGAGATTGTAGATGGAGGGGGAGGCTAAAAGGGATGGGGAGGGACAAAGATACTCACAGCAGGAACGCCACTGAGGTCGGCTCCTTGCCATGTCAGCAAGTGTATCCAGCCAAACGTGTTCACCGTCTATTTTTGTTCGTCGCAGTCAGCTGATAATTCGGATAAGTCAACTATCTATCCGGAAAAGCACCAGACGGCCGTTTCGCCCTATTGGGGCTCGTCAGTGGTGCGCATCCTTCGGTCCTCCAGTGAGGATCGAACCCATGACTGCTAGTGTCTTGTGCCAACTAGCCCGCTGCTTATGCAACTGAGTCATGGAGGACGGTAGCCGACCACCACGAATTGTTAGTTAACTGCCATATAGCCCGACCCATCCCCCACTGTCACGCAGGCACCTGCCATGCAGCTGACAGCGGTTGGCCTTCCGGCGTGGCGACAGCTTGCCTTAAGCCTTCACTCTGCCCGTGCTACGCGCATATAATGCTTGGATAATGTTTACATATTTCTCGGGCACACCTTTCCTGAGTAGACAATCGCAAAGGGCACATCGATCAACCGAATCGAAGGCAGCTTTGATGTCGAGGAACACGACTACGGTGGGCCGCCAATATGTGTGACGGTGTACCAACAACTGGCGCAAGGTGAAGATGTGGTCGATGCAGCCACGACCACGACGAAACCCGGCTTGCTCCTCACGAATCTGGCTTTCACGAGTGCCAGTCAGTCTGTGAAGGATAATGGAGGCGATGGAGATCAGACTGATTCCTCTATGGTTGCTGCATTCCGAGCGCGAACCGCCTTTGAAGATGGGAACAAAGACGGAGCGGCTCCAGTCGGTTGGGACAGTCTCCTGCTCCCACAGTTTCAATAGTAATTCATGTAAAGCATCAACAAGAGCAGAGCCTCCGAATTTGAAGAGGGCTGGAGAAATATCATTTGGAAACCCGCGGATTTGTTCAACTTCAACAGTCCGATCTCACGTTCGACTTCTGAGCAAGAGGGTGGTAGCATTAAACTATTCGCTAGGTTATTGTCTGAATCATACTGTATCCGTTTCCCATCAAAAATATTTCTAATAGCTCCCTAATCCTACCGATCATCGTGACGAGACGGGACCTTAACGCGCCCGCGATATTTCGTGTGCCTTAGCAATCCATTGGGCCATGCTGGGTGGTACTTTTGCACCTTCAGAGCCACTCATACCACATTGGCTAATGACTAGAGGCCTGACAAACTCAGTTTCTTGGCCCTCTAGGTTGGAGTGAGGATGCCTCCTTATTCCATACAACAAACCCTCTGTAGCCCAGTGCCCAAACCCCAGTGCCTTGCGGTCAGGTTTTCGAACTAGACTTTGGTTGTGTACCCTAATCGTTCGCCTGTTTAGGCCTGAGCAACCTGACAGTACCTTGCCTACGCAATTCAGCGACTTCTTCAAATAATCTCTTGATGTTCTGGCCGCTGTTTCTTATACAGCGCCCTATCTGCTGTATCGAGCTGAGTGGATAGGGGTTTTTATGCTTCTGCGCTATCCCTCCCGTCTTCTTATTCCTCCTTTTGCGCTTTTTCATCCTTATTCTCCGTTTCCAACTTCACTTTTATCCCCCTGTTTCCAATCCACCAATTCTTGGTCCTCCTCCAACTTTGTTCAGTAGTCGTTCGCCTCTACTTTCATTTCACACGCAATCGCAGGGCATCAATCCGGTCCAGTCGGTAAGTTCTTATCCAGCCAAATGGACAACGCCAGTTCATCGGCCTCTATTTGGAGCCCTCGGCCTTCCCTAAGACTAGCATTCCTCAATGTGTGCACTTTGCTGTTAACTGGCCAACAAGCATCACTTGCCCGGACACTGGAGACCCTACCAGTCGATGCCTGCTGCTTGTCAGAAACTCGCCTTCAAGATTTGAATTATGTGCTTACCCTCTGATTCCCAACGTGCAACGCTTGCGGTATTTTCTCATTACGTTTATCCGGAGATGAAGCGGCTTCAAATGCCCGTCAAGCCGGTATTGGCATTGATCTTAGTCCTCGGGCTGAATCTACCTTGATCGATTGGATCCCAATGAACAGCCAGATGTGCGCTGTCAGATTGGCTGGCTCATTCACAGCATCGAAGTTGCGTAGGGACAAACAGTACTTGTTTTGTCATTGCGACCTATGCGCCCACAAATTGTAGCGCTGACTCGGTAAAAGGCGACTTCTATCACCAGTTAAACGCGTTCCTTCATCACAAGAAAACTACGGATACTGTGGTACTTGCTGGTGATTTGGACGGCCAAGTCGGAATGCACTGATGAGTTTCATTTGGGCGGTCAACACGGTGTAGACTCCCGTAATGATAACGATGAGCGGTTGCTACACCTGTGTGAAAATGCTCGCCTCTTTCATGCGAGCACAAACTTCCGACACAACACCCACGGACGGGCGAAATGGCGCCTACCAGCTATGGACACAAATCGGTCACATTGTGGTCAGTTACCGCTGAAGAGGATGCCTTTAAAACTGTCACTCGATTTGGAGCACGAGGGTGGACTCTGACCACGCGCTTGTTTACTTCGACCTCCGGGTGTTTCCATAGGCGTCCGCAACGGCACTGTTAACGCATGGATGTTTACCAGCTGGCGAATGCAGATGTTCTGAATGCCTGTCAAAGTACTCTGGTATCTGAGCTGAGTAAGCGCCCATAGAACAAAGTTGTAGGTCACTGGTCGCATATCCGCCAGACGTTATTAGCAGCAGACATGTCTTCATGTGGTAAATCACATTGCCAGCCTGGACATTTGGCCTCCACACTGTCTCTGCAACTTATGGATTCTAGCCTCCGACTGGAAGCGAATACCATGAGATTCACAAGACTCAGGGCGAAACCATATGCTAGCCTAAAGAGAGACCGCGAATTCTGGTGCTCTGACCGTGCCTCGGAGATAGAAACAGCTGCTGACCTTGGTAACCATTGGAAGTTATTCAGTTTGATACGAGAAACGGGCAGCAGGAAACCTAGTGTCAGTGAGATCATGTGCGACGAGAGTGGAGAGCCGATCCGCAGCTTGTCAAAGCACACGGGACGTTGGGCCGAACACTTTCAGAAGCAGTTTAATCAGTCAGAATTGCCAGTTTCTCTATCGGCCAATGAGCCCTGGGCCGTTTCCTTGGATGCGCCCTCGCGCGCAGCAGTCGAACGTGAGATCAGACGGTCGAAATTGAACAAGGTCTCCGGAGCAGATGGACTTCATCCAGCCCTCTTCAAATTTGGGGGAACTGCTCTTTTATATGATTTACATATGGAAGCAGCAGACTGGAGGCGCTCCGAAAAGGTTCCAATTTTCAAAGGAGGCAGTCAAAAAGGAATCAGTCTGATCTCCATTTCCTCCATGTAGCTTGCGTCTGTCGTCCTCCATAGACTGACTGACACTCGTGAAA